GACGACACGCCGCCTCACGTGGGAGATCTTGTCAAGCTACCGTTGTATCACGATGACTCACGCGTATGCACGGAATGCCTCGATAATTCATCTCATCGCGACACGCTTGAGATTTATATTTCTTTATATTTCCTTTATATTTCTTCCTCTTCCTCTGATTCCAGCTCCGACGTTACCAAGAATGGATTCACCCTTCTGGTTCGAGGGCACGCTCCCGAATGCCTGGAATTTCTCGACAGGGTTCTGAAACTCGTCCAGGTAAGGGGGAATGTTGTGTATTTTACGTTACGTACGCCCCTTTTTGCAAGAGTTATGGCAAGATGTTGGGGCAAGAGTAAATTGGATAATGACACACGAAGGGGATGATTGTCGTTTTGCAGGGACGAGTGAACGTTTCTCAAGCGATACTTGTGCACAATTCTGTCGCCGAGAGCTCGATCAACTCGGAGTTACCTTTGAGCTGCGTCAAGGTGAGCAAGATCAATTTGATTCTTATTGATTTTATTATAATATATTTGTACATCTTATCTATCTTTTGATTAATTATATTTTCTTATTAGAAAAAATTATAGATAATTATTTATTTCTTCCTTTCTGATCTAATTTTTAATTTTTTTTATTTATTGATGATTGAATAATAAAATTTAATCTAATCGAAATGAATGAATAAATTAAATAATAATAAAGTTTAAACGATCTATTTTATTGTCAATTATTGGTGATAAAATTTTATTTTATCATAAAAAAAACAATATAATAAAAGAGAATAAATTTTCACACAGTTAAACATCAATAAAAATATTGATTTACAATAATTTGCATATAATAACCAATACGATATTTCTATACATTAGATGCGAAGAATGCATTAACATCCCCAATTTATGATCCAAATTAATTACGATAGAAACATTAATAATGGACAATGAAGTACATGGTCTCCATGTACTTAAGCATGCACACATGTCTTTCACGGTGAAAGGATTGAGCAATCGCCTTCAGTGTGCCCCTTTCCATCGATTATTGTTTGCTCGATTCCATACTGGAAACATTATTCCTCGTGCGTCTATTGGTCACTCACATCTCGTTTCGATTGCTCGGTCCTCGACGAGAATAAAAGAAATCGTTTCTTCTCGAGCACGATTTTCGAAGACACATTTGTAAGAATCGTTTCTCTTGTCGGACGGTTAAAAACGTTTTTTTCGATTTTGCTTTCAGACGACTATCGTTGATGAGGGCGCTTTGAGAGAACATATACCCAGGCTGGAGCGGAGCCACGACCAGACGCAATGGATTGCGTTTTATAAGGTAAAGAAAAACCATCATTTTATTCTTCTTTCTATTCTCTTTATTTGATTGTTATATTTTTCTTTCGTTTGTATATAAAAAATAGGAAATGTAATATGATGTTCTTTTTTATAAGATGAAATATTTAGAACAAAAATATTCAGATCATGAAATATATATATATTTTACTATATCAGAAAAATATTGTATCATATAATTATATAAGAGTGTAATACTTTAGGAGATTAATATTTCTATGTGAATACAATTGTTAATATTTATATATATAGATTTTCTTTATATTATCGATAATTTATAATATTTTGAAAGCTTTGATATTTCTTCTTGAAATAGAGACGAAGGGATGAATTGGAAATTCATTTAAATTGAATTTCATTCGATTGATTCTATGTTTAATAAAAACTTTGAGTTGAGTTGAATTGAATTTTTTATTATCGTTCATCAGTTATCTTTCAAAGTGACAATTATAGATTATAATTTTCAATATTTTTATCTATAGAATTATTCTAATGTTTTTCTTATTACTTTCAGTTTGAATTTTTTTAGAAATCCATGATTTTTTTAATAAAAATTAAATTTATGAGAATCTTCATTACCTTGTAAAATTTTTCAGTTAAAAATTTTTCAAAGGAAATTTCTTTTGATTTCTTAAATGAATATTTATATTCAAATTTTTGATGGAATATCTCACCAAATAATAAACTACATGAAAAATTTAAAAGCCATCTTATTTCGGCGACAATTTTCATTTCGGTCGTAGAATCGAAAGTAGTTAAAATGATTGATAGTAAAATTTTTCTTTTAAATTCTTCTCTTGATTGGTACATTATTAATGACATGTTAATTTTATAACCATGTTTTACATTTTTATTATGTTATTGATATATAATATATTATTGACAATTTTTTATTGCGATATGCTGTTTAATTCATCTTAAAATCAATCGTTTAAGAAATATTCAAGGTAATTTTTTATCATGAATTTTATATATTAAATGTATATTCATTTCCATTCAAGAATGTAAAAATATGACGTATTATCATAAATAAAGTATCGCAATAGATTTAATAACGAAGATTTCATGAATCAAGTAAAAATTTTGCGTAAGAAAAAATAATTTATTAGTTATTAGTCTTAAACAAGTTTTAAATGAATTAAAAAAATAATAAAATAATAATAATAAATAAAACACTTAATAATAAAATATTATTATTATTATTTATTTATATATTTCATATCAAATAAATAACTTTTGTATCTCAACGTTTAAAAGTTGAAAAGATACATTCCTCGATTCTTCAAATCACTATCCTTTTATCACGTTTCAACCAAGAAAAAAAAAAGCTTAAGGACAATATTGACAAATTATGTTATCCTACTAACTCTTCTTTACAACAAGATTCCTTGACATCTCACAAAACAAAGAGAAAAAGTGAGTATATTCAATCTCCTTCCACCCAAACCACTCTCCCGATTCCTCCAAACCCTCACCTTCGAGTTTAAGCACCCTAACAAGCAAGCAGTTGAGCGAATGACAGCCAAGTCGGGGCAAGCTCATCCGTCTGAATCGAGATTCGCGACAAATTGCTTCCGAAAATGATCACGCCTCGACAGTGTGTCCCATCATATGAGAGAACGAGGAGGAAAAAAGAGATGGAGGGGGACTAGCGATGGAATCAAATTCAATACGTACTCATAAATTTAAATCAAATGTAAAACATTCTTTTCGTTCTCGATAACATCACACGTTCATTCGATTGGCAAAAATTTCGACGAATAATATTCGAAGATATCGTTTCTTTTTCTCTTTTTTTTTTTATTATTTTCAAAATTATTTAAATATTTTATTATTTTTTATTATATTTATTTAAATTTTTTTTTATTATTTTCAAAATTATATTTATACCATTGAATTACCATTACTAGTTATGGATGAACAGTAATAGTAATTGCAAATTGTAAAATTGTACACAAGAAAATTTGAACACGAAGAAGAATTTGAACAATGCTCGAATGTTCGCGAGATACTCGATCCCATCACTAAA